CCCTCCCAGGCCCAAAAGGGTAGTGGCCTGCCATCAGGTAAGTCCTTTTGGGTGCCTCTTCTTCCTTCGCCTCACCTCACTGGGATTTGCTAGCCCAGGAGCCAGAAAGAGGCCTTCAGGTACAAATTCACTCAGCTGGAGCATTTAAGCCAAGCCCCCACCTCGGGGCTTGGAGGAGGGAGAGGGGGAGAGGGAGAGGCGGGCGCATCTAAAGAGGGGCCTGAGGGATAAGCATGAAGCCTCAGCACAGGTCACAGTGCTGAAAAATGTGTGAAAGTCGAAATTTAATAAGCCCCACTGAATCCTAACTAGCCCCATAACTTTGTCCACCATTGAGCCCAAGACTCTCATTCACTGACCCTCTCGGTCCCCTATCACTCATCCCAATGCCCCGCCCACATCAGTGACCCTCACAAACCTCCCTTCATTCATCTCCCACAACTACCCATCAATTCAGCCAATGACCCCGACACTCGCGCCCTCAACCTCACTCTTTCTGGACAGCAGATTTTCTACTCGCTGCTGAGGAAACCGTTATAAGAACTGGCTCTAAACAGCACTTCCGCTTCGGGACCTACTCTATTGGCACCGCAGTCTTAAAAAACTGCAGCGGTCAATTCTGCGCATGCTCAGTGACGCTTTTGAGCCCGCATCTGCCAATAGTCAACATGGAGCGAGGTAGGCGATGGAGTTTCAGCGCAGGCGCAGAGGGAAGGTAGCCGCTCCGGTGACGTCACTATTCCGAAGCGAGATGGCGGAGTCTACGGCGCCTCTTCAGCTCCAGGTTGGCGGTGCAGAGTGTTCTACGGAGTCCGGCATTCCTAAAATTTAAATGCCAGTTTTCTTATGGCGGGACTGGGAGAGGAGGGTGTCAAATGAAGGAAAAGATTCTAGCAGGCGGGATTGCTTGTCTTGAACTCAAGAGAGTAGCCGCAATGTTGCAGGTGTAATTGGACAGGAAGACGGGATGCTGGGCCGAATGCTATCCATGCACAAAGACCAGGAGGGGAGGGATATTAACTGGCTGCTCCATCCAGTGGTGAGAGCTGGGAGTGAACACCCGTTGTGACGTTTGTAGAAAGGTAGAAAGGTATGCAGAGCAGACAACGTGCTGAAGAATAAACAGATATGTGGGAGACATGCATACACACCGGGGGTAAGACGGTGAATTAAGTAGTGGCTGACAAGGTGCCTTCCCTGAATGGGCAGAGACACCTTCAGCATATTGAGAATGTAGGAGACGTGGTTGGCAGCTAGGTATTGTAGCACTTCCTCAGCCAGGGACGGGACTCACATTTTATTCTGGACATAGTGGAAAACCATAAGAAGGATTTGACTTTTAAAAGACCATTTTGAGCCGGGCGTGGTGGCGCACACCTGTAATCCCAGCACTCGGGAGGCTGAGGCAGGAGGATCGCTGTGAGTTCCAGACCAGCCTGGGCTACATACTGAGTTCCAGGTCAGTTTCAACTACATAGTGAGACCCTATCTCAAAACAAACAAACAAACAAAAAAAGACCATTTTGAATCAATCTAGTATTATATACTCAGTTTTAAAATGCACATATATTTGACTCATTTGTTTATTGCCTGCTTTGTCCCACTAGAATATGACCTACACGATGGTTTGCTTAAATACTTCCTGTGTGTCAGGTAATGTTCGAGATATTGGGAATGTAGAAAGGAAGAAAGCAAATGCAACCAAACACGATGGGGACATCCTGAGTTCAAACCCTTACCTGCCTGCTATGTGATATAGGGCATGACTCAACTTCTCTGTGCTGTTTCCTCACCTATAAAATAAAGATATTGACAGTGCCTACCTCATTAAGGTTGTAGTAACAAATTGCTAATTGTAAAAACAGTTCATCTGGCACATTTATTTAAATAAAATCAGATATGTGTGTAAAAACTTTAATAAGAGGGAAAAAATAAAAAGGTGACTTGTAGGCTGCCATTTGGAGAACAGGCCGTAAAGGACAAGTACAGCGACAGAGAGCAGTGAGGAGCTTCCTGCCACAGGCACAGCAAGTGACATAGCTCAGTATCTCCTGTGTGCCAGGCACTGTGAAATGCATAACACAACCTGCCTGAGGTAGCCACCACAACAGGCCCATGGTCTTTTTTTTTTTTTTTTTTTTTTTTTTTTTGGTACCAGGGATTTAACTCGGGTCCTTGCCCACTTTTCAAATAAGGAAATTGGGTCTAAGGTTAATTAAGTTCCTCAAGTTCACACAAGTTTTAAAGGTGGGATCCATAACTTCTACCCAATAATACTTTTCTTTCTTCAATATCCCACAAGATTTACAGAAGGTGCCTTAGGAGTCTCACACTAGAACTATTAAAACTAGTCAAGGGGGCTGGGGATGTAGCTTAGTGGTACCATGACTGCCTGGAAAGCATAAGGTCCTGAGTTCAATTCCTGGTTCTGAAAAAAAAAAACTAGTCAAGGAGTGGATCAAGCAAGGAGAGAGAAAGCAGAGAAGGAACTCAGAACTCTTTTTTTTTTTTTTTTTTTGTACCGGGGATTGAACTCAGGTCCTTGTGCTTGCAAGGCAGGCCACCGAACCACTGAGCTAAATCCCCAGCCCCACAGAATTCTTGTTCCCTGGAGAATCAGCACCTCCTGGGTATAAAACTTGTCAATATATTAGGAGTGAAAGATGAGGAGAGCTGGCCCATTGAAATCTGGCCTCTCATCCCCTAAACATCATCCCCATCATCTTGTGCACATGCGAACACACACACACACACACACACACACACACACACACACACACCCTATGCAGAAGGTGAAATTCTTTAAGGTTGACGGGAATTAAGGCACAAAATAAGGGGCAAAAGAAGAGGGAATGGAGATGAATGTGAATCAGATAGAGTTTAGGTGGGGGTGCTATAAGGGAGGAGAGTCACTAGAAGAGAATGGGGCAGGCTTAGCTAGAGGGAATAACAGTAGTGATTCAGCAATGTGTACGGTACCTGGATCACAGTGTGGGTCAGCAGATGTGAATGAGCTGATGTGTACATGAACGGAGGTTATGCTGGGCAGAGTGAGAAAGAATAGACGAGCTGAAAGTGAATAATTGTGAGTGTTATGAGGTGAGGAGAAAGAGGATGAAGGTCATATGTTCCAGGGACAGTAAGTAGGGAAACGTGAGCTCCAATGTGAAGGAAAACTGGCAAATTAGAGGCAATGTGTGGCTAAATGGGGGTACTGGATCAAAGTGGGAGTGTCTATGAATCAGGAAAGAAGTGCAAGAAGAGGATAATGGGGTTACATCAGAGGTGAATCTAAATGAATATGGTGATGAGAAGCCAAATGAGAGTAAATGAGAAAATTGAGCAAGAATGCAGGTAACCAAGCATAGAGTATGTGTGGATGTTATAGTTTATATCTAGACGCCCCTCAAGAGCCTCATGCACTCATAGGTGGGCCTTTTGGAAGACAACTGGATTATGGGGGATTGTAGCTGACTTTTTGTTAGGAGGTGGGGTCTGATTGGAAGAGGCAGGTTACTAGAGGCATGGCCTGGAAAGGTTTATGTCCCACCCTGGCTTCTCCCTTAAACTCTGCTTCCTGCCTGCCATGCTATAAGAAGCTCCTCCTCTGCTCTGCCGCTATGCCAGTGATGGTAACCTTTTAGAGCTTTCATTGATACAAAGAGTTTGCTGTGGCACGCGTGCCATAGGTTCACCATCACTGCCCCATGACATGCCACTCTGCATTGGAGCCAGTGGAATAATATGTACTGAAACTTCTACAAACTATGAATCAAAATAAGCATTTTGACCTTTAAATTGCAGGTTCTGGGTATTGTGTCTCAAAGAAAAATGACTAAAATGGTGGGTCAATTGAGCTAGAGTTTAGGAGTAATGACAGACAGAGTTTCAAGAAATGGGGGTGATAGGAGGCATCATCTGAAAGAATAGAAATGATTAAGAGGCAGCAAGGGAGCGAATGGAGGAGAAAATGAGGCCCAGAGTCAGTGACCAAGCTGAAGGATTGAACGTGAGGGCAAATGGCCCATCTGATGCAGTGTCAGGAAGTAGAGGTGAAGAGAAAATGAGAGAGCGATAGGAGAAAATGAATTGACAGTGAATACAGGTGAATGAGTATAATGTGAGAGAATGTGGGTAATGCTAAGGAGAAGGTCAGGAAATTGGAGGCCCAGTGTGAGTGACTAAAACTGAGGCAGCATTAGTGAACTAGGGAATAAAAGGTAGAATGAGAATGAAGGTGAAAAAGCAGTTGAGCGTATGTACCATATACATAGTATGGCATTTGTGATATATAACATGGGGCAGGTTCAGTTTGAGCGTAGCAATGCAGTAAATACAGAGATGAGAAGGAGGTACCAAGGATGTGTTACGGTTTGAATGTGTACCCTCCAAACTTCAGGTGCTGGAAATCGAATCCCCAAAGCAACAGCACTGTGAGGTGGGACATGTGGGGAAGTGTTCAGGCCCTGAGGACTCTGATCTCATGAGTGAATCAACACAGCTATAAAAAGGACGTGCAGGAATGGATTCACTTTCTTGCCCTTCTAACTTCAACCATGTGAAGTTGTAGCATGAAAGCCCTCATCGGATGTCATCACCTTGATCTGAGGACTTCCCAGCCTCCAGAATTGTGAAGAAATAAATTTATGTTCTTTATAAACATCCCAGTCTAGCAGCAAAAACAGACTAAGACAAGGAGTCAATGGAGGCAATGGGGAGCAGGAGGCAGGGGTGTGGTGGTCATATTCTGCAGAGCATGAGGAATCAGAGGTGGCGATAGGCACAGTGTGATGAGCAGCACTGCCCACTCAGCAGAGGGCAGTGGAACTGATGATGGTTAGTGAGGGGAAATGGAGGTGACCAAGTGGTAGGGGAGTGTGGGCCCAGTGTGTCCCTAACCCCTCTCCCTGCAACTTTCTGACATCTTTGGGTTTCTCCTCTTTTCCCCTTCTATCTCTCTGTATATGTCAGTATATTTCTTTGTCCTTGTGCATGTCTTTTGGTTTCTAACAGAATTGGCACTTGGCAAAATGGGAAGGTGGCCTGACCTTTGACCTCAGTATTCTAGAATATTATTACCTGGACCATTGCTCACAGAGCCCAGAGTTCCAGAATGTTTCTTATTCTGAGCACGAAAGGGTGAGTTGGAAGCAGAGTTAGTCAGCTTGGAGGGACTGTGGCTATCATAATGCAGTTCTTAGGCACAGTGATAGTGATCTCGTCCATACTGATGGCTCCTAACGTGGACGCCAAGATTTTTGAACGCTGTGAGCTTGCAAAGAAGTTGGAGGAGGCAGGTCTCAACAGCTACAAAGGCTACAGCATCGGAGACTGTGAGATTCCCCAGTTACCCCTAACCCCAGCTATACCCAAAGCCACCTACCACACTTAGTCTCGGTATCCTTTGTCATTTTTCATTTCTCTGGACCAGGGCATGATCTTCTCAGTAATTTACTGACTGTGATAAATGGTTTAATTCAACTCTGATATCATCACTATCGTTGTCTTCACAACCATTACTTAATCTCTCCCATCAACACCATCACCACCACTATCACTGATATCTCACCAGAATCCCCAACATCAAAACCCCAACACCAAACCAAGATCATCATCCTCACCACTAAGATGACATCATCCCTGTCTTTATCTGCCTTATCCTAACTTCTCTGTTCTTATGCCTTATGCTTAACTCCCCTTCTCCCTCTTCAGGGTTGTGCATGGCACACTATGAGAGTGGCTTTGACACCTCCTTCGTGGACCACAATCCTGATGGTAGCAGTGAATATGGCATTTTTCAGCTGAACTCCGCCTGGTGGTGCGACAATGGCGTCACACCCACCAAGAACTTTTGAAACATGTATTGTCAAGGTAAGTCAGCACTGGAAACACACAGAAGCTTTGCTAGCCCCCCATATAACACACACAGAAGGTGAGGTTGTGTAAACCACAATCTCTGCTGAAAGCAGAAAAACAACAGGGAAGGGGGAATAGTTGCCTGGGCTGTTAGACACTGCTGAATCCTTAGACTACCCTGAGATGTTGTCTAGGTCAGGAAAATGCAGAGCCCTCCAAACTTTACCCATTATGGAAGGTACAGTTTTCTGAGACTGAGAAAACAAGCAACTTAGCTCCATGTGAAACAGACATAGACTAGGCCTTGAGGGAAGTAGCAGATATCTGGAAGCAGGAACAGAAACAAACTACCCCTGTGAAGAAATGAGAGAACTTTCCAGACAAGAGTATGATGGAATTGAGGACAAGATAGCAGTGTAAATTGCTCGGGGTTGGCCAAAAATGGTGGTTGAGGTTGTCCAAGATAGGCCAAAATGCAGACTGTTATTTGGACAGTCCAAATGGAGGTTAAGGTTGTCCAAGTCCTATCAGCCTAACAGAAGAGGTCACCCAGGAATAGCCAAATTTAATTCTGAGATTGTCGAGTATTGGCAACCATTGAGACTGATGTCTAAAACATGGTAAATGGGTAATGAGTCTAAAATTAAATGAGCTAAAATTAAAGTTAAGATTTTCAGCATGAAAACCAAGGTAGTCCGAGATTAGCTAAAATGGAGGTCAAAGTTATTCATAACTAATAAAAATGGCAGTTGAGATTGTTGAGGACAGGAAAAGATGGTGGTTGAAATCTTTAATAACTAGCTAAGCAGCAGCCAAAGGTCATCCTGATCTAACCAACATGATAGTTGAGGTCCTCCATGACCAGGCACCAGAATAGCTGAGATGAAACAACAGTAGCCAATATGGAGATTGAGTCATTCATAACCAGTCAAAATAGGAGTTCAGTTTATGATGGACCCAACAACATAGTATTTGAAGTTACCAGGGCAGTCCAACATGGAGGTCAGCTTACTAGTTAACCAACATGGTAGTTGAACATATGTCAGACCAGCCAGCATGAGAGTTGAGATCAGTCAAAACCAGACATCATGACAGTTGAAGTCATCCCAAGGTGGCGAACATGGGGCTTTATGGCAAGCCAAAATGATAGTCAGGATCAGCCAGAATCAGTCAACATGAGTTAAGGTTGTACAGAACCAGCCAGTGTAGCAGTTGAGACCATTTACAACCAGGTAACAAGAGTCAGTGTCATTAATAATCAGACAAGGTAGTAATTGATTGTAGCCCCAAGGAACTCAGAAACCCTGAGTTCTCCATACACCATCACCCTGTCCCCAGTGCACCAGGTCATCATGTCTCTCTCTCCGCCCACCCCCCAGATCTACTCAATCGGCATATTCTGGATGACGTCATGTGTGCCAAGCTGATAGTGTCTTCTAAGAATAGTATGAATGCCTGGTAAGTTCATAGGAATGGTCTAAACTCTGAGCAGCCAGAGACAGTGGTACTGCTATTGCATCAACTTGTCTACTTCATCCTCTGATCCTCTCTCTCCCTTTCTTCATTTCTAGGGATTCATGGAGCCGGCATTGTTCTGGCCATGATTTATCCAAATGGCTGAAAGGATGTGATGTGAATATAAAAACTGACTCACCGAAAATCAATTCATGACTCAAATTCCCAGGAATGGAAATTTTTTTTTCCTTTGTGAGTTTAATAAAGAATGGTATCTGTAGACAATGCAAGAACCATTGCCTATCAGATGTCTGGTTCTTTTCATTTTTCCAATCACTTCCTCACACATTTCCACACTTCTAATCAAGAGATACCAGATCGGGGCCAGGGATTTAGCTCAGTGGTGCCGCCACCTTCCTTGCAAGCTCAAGGTCCCAAGTTCGATCCCCAGTACCAAAAAAGAGAGAGAGAGATACCAGATCACCTGGTGTTGGGATGGGAATAGGTTCTTATTGGTTTAAATACCATCTCTACCACTTGTTAGCTGTGTTGCCTTGAAAAAGGCACTTAATTTTTCTGTGCCTCAGTTTCCTCATCTGAAAAATGAAGATGATAATGACAGTATCTACCTCATGAAGGTATTAGGAGGATTAGCGGAATTAATGTGTGTAATGTACATAAAGTGGGGGCTGGGGATATAGCTCAGTGGTTCCACCACCTGCTTCACAAGCGTAAGGTCTTGACTAAGATCCCTGGTACAAA